TAATCCTTTGTCGTTGGTTCGTTGGCAAATATTTTCTACCATTCTGAGGGTTCTCTTTTCATTTTGTTTATGTTCTCCTTTGCTGTGCAAAAGCTTTTAAGTTTCATTAGGTCCCATTTCTTTATTTTTGTTTTTATTTCCATTTCTCTAGGAGGTGGGTCAAAAGGATCTGGCTGTGATTTATATCAGAGAGTTCTGCCTATGTTTTGCTCTAACAGTTTTATAGTGTGTGGCCTTGCATTTAGGCCTTTAATTCATTTTGAGTTTATTTTTGTGTATGGTGTAAGGAAGTGTTCTAATTTCATTCTTTTACATGTAGCTGTACAGTTTTCCCAACACCGCTTACTGAAGAGACTGTCTTTACTCCATTGTATATTCTTGCCTCCTTTTTCAAAGATAAGGTGGCCATATGTGCGTAGGTTTATCTCTGGGCTTTCTATCCTGTTCCATTGATCTGTATTTCTGTTTTTGTGCCAGCACCATACTGTCTTGATTACTGTAGCTTTGCAGGATAGTCTGAAGTCAGGGAGCGTGATTCCTCCAGCTCCATTTTTCTTTCTCAATATTGCTTTGGTTATTTGCGGTATTTTATGTTTCCACAAAAATTGTAAACATTTTTGTTCTAGTTCTGTGAAAAATGCCATTGGTAGTTTGATAGGGATTGCACTTAATCTGTAGATTGCTTTGGGTAGTATAGTCATTTTCACAAAGTTGATTCTTCCAATCCAAGAACATGGTATATCTCTCCATCTGTTGGTATAATCTTTAATTTCTTTCATCAGTGTCTTATAGTTTTCTGCATATAGGTCTTTTGTCTCCTTAGGTAGGTTTATTACTAGATATTTTATTCTTTTTGTTGCAATGGTAAATGGGAGTGTTTCCTGAATCTCTCTTTCAGATTTTTCATCATTAGTGTATAGGAATGCAAGAGATTTCTGTGCATTAATTTTGTATCCTGCTACTTTGCCAAATTCATTGATTAGCTCTGGTATTTTCCTGGTAACATCTCTAGGATTCTCTATGTATAGTATCATGTCATCTGCAAACAGTGACAGTTTTACTTCTTCTTTTCCGATTTAGATTCCTTTTATTTCTTTTTTTTCTCTGATTGCCGTGGCTAAAACTTCCAAAATTATGTTGGATAATAGTGGTGAGGGTGGGCCTTGTTTCTGATCTTAGAGGAAATGGTTTCAGTTTTTCACCACTGGCAATGTTGTTGGCTCTGGGTTTATCATATATGGTCTTTACTAGGTTGAGATAGTTTCCCTCTATGCCTACTTTCTGGAGGGTTTTTATCATAGACAGGTGTTGAATTTTGTTGAAAGCATTTTCTGCATCTATTGAGAAGATCATATGGTTTTTATCCTTCAAATTATTACTCTGATATATCACATTGATTGATTTGTGTATATTGAAGAATCCTTGCATTCCTGGGATAAACCCCACTTGGTCATGGTGTATGATCCTTTTAATGTGCTGTTGGATTGTGTCTGCTAGTATTTTGTTGAGGATTTTTGCATCTATGTTCATCAGGGAAATTGGTCTACAGCTTTCTTTTTTTGTGACATCTTTGTCTGCTTTTGGTATAGGGGTGATGGTGACCTCATAGGATGAGTTTGGGAGTGTTCCTCCCTCTGTTATATTTTGGAAGAGTTTGAGAAGGATAGGTGTCAGGTCTTCTCTAAGTGTTTGATAGAATTCACCTGTGAAGCCATCTGGACCTGGGCTTTTGTTTGCTGGAAGATTTTTAATCACAGTTTCAATTTCAGTGCTTGTGATTGGTCTGTTTATATTTTCTATTTCTTCCTGGTTCAGTCTTGGAAGGTTGTGCTTTTTTAAGAACTTGTCCATTTCTTCCAGGTTGTCCATTTTACTGGCATAGAGTTGCTTGTAGTAGTCTCTCATAATCTTTTGTATTTCTGCTGTGTCAGCTGTTACTTCTCCTTTTTCATTTCTAATTCTGTTGATTTGAGTCTTCTCCCTCTTTTTTCCTGATGACTCTGGCTAATGGTTTATCAATTTTGTTTATCTTCTCAAATAACCAGCTTTTAGTTTTTTTTTGTTTTTTTTTTTTCAGTACGTGGGCCTCTCACTGTTGTGGCCTCTCCCATTGTGGAACACAGGCTCCGCACGCGCAGGCTCAGCGGCCATGGCTCATGGACCCAGCCACTCCGCAGTATGTGGGATCTTCCCAGACCGAGGCATGAACCCATGTCCCCTGCATCAGCAAGCAAACTCTCAACCACTGCACCACCAGGGAAGCCCCCAGCTTTTAGTTTTATTGATCTTTGCCATTGTTTCCTTCATTTCTTATTCATTTATTTCTGATCTGATCTTTATGATTTCTTTCCTTCTGCTAACTTTAGGTTTTTTTTGTTCTTCTTTCTCTAATTGCTTTAGGTGTAAGTTTAGGTTGTTTATTTGAGATTTTTCTTGTTTCTTGAGGTAGGATTGTATTGCTATTAACTACCCTCTTAGAACTGCTTTTGCTGCATCCCATAGGTTTTGGGTCATTGTGTTTTCATTGTCATTTGTTTCTAGGCATTTTTTGATTTCCTGTTTGATTTCTTCAGTGATCTCTTGGTTACCTAGTAGCATATTGTTTAGCCTCCATGTGTTTGTGTTTTTTACAGTTTTTTTTTCCCCTATAATTGATATCTAGTCTCATAGCATTGTGGTCAGAAAAAATATTTGATATGATATCAATTTTCTTATATTTACCAAGGCTTGATTTGTGACACATGATATGATCTATCCTGGAGAATGTTCCATGTGCACGTGAGATGAAAGTATATTCTGTTGTTTTGGGGTGGATTGTCCTATAAATATCAATTAAGTCCATCTGCTCTAATGTGTCATTTAAAGTTTGTGTTTCCTTATTTATTTGCATTTTGAATAATCTGTCCATTGGTGTAAGTGTGGTGTTTAAGTCCCTTACTATGATTGTGTTACTGTTGATTTCCCCTTTTACGGCTGTTAAAATTTGCCTTATGTATTGAGTTGCTCCTATGTTAGTTGCATAAATATTTACAATTGTTATAGCTTCTTCTTGGATTGATCCCTTTATCTTTTTGTAGTGTCCCTCTTTGTCTCTTGTAATAGTCTTTATTTTAAAGTCTATTTTGTCTGATATGAGAATTGCTACTCCAGCTCTCTTTGATTTCCATTTCTATGGAATATCTTTTTCCATTCCCGCACTTTCAGTCTGTATGTGTCCCTAGGTCTGCAGTGGGTCTCTTATAGAGAGCATATATATGGGTCTTGTTTTTGTGTCCATTCAGCCAGTCTGTGTCTTTTGGTTGGAGAATTTAATCCATTTACCTTTAAGATAATTATTTTATATGTAAGTTTCTATGATCATTTTCTTAATTTTGGGGGTTTTTTATTGTAGGTCTTTTCCTTCTCTTGTGTTTCCTTCCTAGAGAAGTTCCTTTAGCATTTGTTGTAAAGTTGCTTTGGTGGTGCTGCATTCTCTTAGCTTTTGCTTGCCTGTAAAAGTTTTAATTTCTCTGTCAAATCTGAATGAGATCCTTGCTGTGAAGAGTAATCTTGGTTGTAGATTTTTCTCCTTCATCGCTTTAAATATGTCCTGCCACTCCCTTCTGGCTTGCAGAGTTTCTGCTGAAAGTTCAGCTGTTAACCTTATGGGGATTCCCTTGTGTGTTATTTGTTGTTTTGCCCTTGTTGCTTTTAATATTTTTTCTTTGTATTTAATTTTTGATAGCTTGATTAATATGTGTCTTGGCATGTTTCTCACTGGATTTAACCTGGATGGGACTCTCTGTGCTCCTGGACTTGCTTGACTATTTCCTTTCCCATGTTAAGGGAGTTTTTGTCTATAATCTCTTCAAATATTTTCTCAGTCCCTTCCTTTTTCTCTTCATCTTCTGGGAACCCTATAATTTGAATATTGGTGCATTTAATATTGTCCCAGAGGTCTCTGAGACTGTCCTCAATTGTTTTCATCTTTTTTCTTTATTCTGCTCTGTGGCAGTTATTTCCAGTTTTCTCTCTTCTGGGTCACTTAACCATTCTTCTGCTATTGATTCCTTCTAGAGAATTTTTAATTTCATTTATTGTGTTGTTCATCACTGTTTGTTTACTTTAGTTCTTCTAGGTCGTTGTTAAATGTTTCTTGTATTTTCTCCATTCTATTTCCAAGATTTGGATCATCTTTACTATCATTACTCTGAATTCCTTTTCAGGTAGACTGCCTATTTCCTCTTCATTTGTTTGGTCTGGTGGGTTTTTACTTTGCTCCTTCATCTGCTGCATATTTCTCTCTCTTCTCATTTTGTTTAACTTACTGTGTTTGGGGTCTCCTTTTCGCAGGCTGCAGGTTCGTAGTTCCTCTTATTTCTGGTTTCTGCCCCCAGTGGGTGAGTTTGGTTCAGTGAGTTGTTAAAGCTTCCTGGTGGGGGTGGGGGTGGGACTGGTGCCTGTGTTGTGGTGGATGGGGCTGGACATTGTCCCTGTGGTGGGCAGGGTGCATCCAGTGGTTTGTTTGGGGGAGTCTGTGAACTTAGTATGACTTTAGACTGCCCATCTGCTAATGAGTGAGGTTGTGTTCCTGTCTTGCTAGTTGTTTGGCATGGGGCATCCAGCACTGGTGTTTGGTGGCCTTTGGGTGGAGCTGGTTCTTAGTGTTGAGACGGAGATCTCTGGGAGAGCTCCCAGCAATTAATATTACCTAGGGCTGGGAGGTTTCTGGGGTCCAGCGTCCTGGACTCAGCTCTCCCACCTCAGAGGCTCAGGCCCGACACCTGGTCAGAGCACCTAAACCCTACCAGCCACATGGCTAAGAAGAAAAGGAAGAAAAAATAATGAACAGACAGAACCCCAAGACAAATGGTAAAAGCAACACTAAGCAGACAAAATCTCAAAAAGAAAAATATACACACACAGTCACAAAAAGAGGAAAAAAAGAAAGGAAGAGAGCAACGAAACCAATAAACAAACCACAAATGACAACAATCACTAAAAGCTAAGCTAATATAAACATGAATCCAAAACCAAATCAAACACAGAAGGTAAACCCCAAGTCTACAGTTACTCCCAAAGTCCACTGCCTCAATTTTGGGAACACTCGTTGTATTCAGGTATTCCACGCATGCAGGGTTTATCAAGCAGATTGTGGGATTTAGTCCACTGTTCCTGAGGCTGCACAGAGAAACTTCCCTTTTTCTTCTTTATTCACACGGCTCCTGGAGTTCAGCTTTGGTTTTGCCCCTACCTCTGCCTATAGGTAACCCTCAGGCATCTGTTACTCACCCAGAGAGGAGTGGGTTAAAGCAGCAGCTGATTAGGGCTCTCTTGCTCACTCAGCCCAGGGAGAAGGAGGGGTAGGGTAGTCATAATTTTGATGCGGGGACAGCCTGCGGTGGCAGATGTCAGCGTGTAGTTGCAACAGCCTGAGCTATGCCCTGTGTTCTCCCACAGAATTTGGCCTTAGATCATGAGACCCTGGCAGTGGCATGCTGCACAGGTTCTTGGTAGGGTGTGGGTAGTGACCTGCGTTTGCACACAAGACTCTTGGTGGCAGCGGCGGCAGTAGTAGCTCTCCTTTGCCCACCTCTGGGGTCCAAGATGATAGCTGCAGCTCACGTCCATCCCTGGAGCTCACTTAGGCAGTGCTCTGCCATTTGTGAGCACATGGAGCAGGAAGCCCCTCTCCTTGAGCACCTGAAACGATGGTCTCTTGCCTCTCGGCAGGTTCAGACATTTTCCCGGACTCCCTCCCGTCTAGCTGTGGCGCACTAGCCCCCTTCAGGCTCTCTTCATGCAGCCAACCCCAGTCCCCTCCCTGGGGTCTGACCTCTGAAACCTGAGCCTCAGCTCCCAGCCCCCACCCGCCCCGGTGGGTGAGCAGACAAGTGTCTCAGGCTGGTGAGTGCTGGTCAGTGCTGATCCTCTGTGCGGGACTCTCTTCACTTTGCCCTCTGCACCCCTATTGCTGCATTCTCCTCTGTGGCTCTGAAGTTCCCTACTTGGCTGACTCCAAATCTGATAAATTTTCTGGCTTTCTGCTGGTTGTGTTCAATTTTCTGCTTATGGCATACTTTGATCCCGACTTTTATGCTTCAGTACCAGGTCACAAGCATGTACCTGATTGGGTTTGGATTGTAGTGGGCATCCTCAACTTCGTAGCCTGCACTCTAGATGGTGTGGATGGAAAGCAAGCCTGTAGAACCAATTCCAGCACCCCATTAGGGGAGCTTTTTGACCATGGCCTGGATAGTTGGTCATGTGTTTACTTTGTTGTAACTGTGTATTCCATTTTTGGACGAGGATCATCTGGTGTCAGTGTTTTTGTTCTTTATCTCCTGCTCTGGGTAGTTTTATTTTCTTTCATCCTGTACCACTGGGAAAAGTATAACACAGGGATTCTTTTCCTGCTGTGGGGATATGACGTTAGCCAGGTGACTATTTCTTTTGTCTACATAGTGACTGCGATTGTGGGAGTTGAGGCCTGGTATGAACCTTTCCTTTTTAATTTCTTTTATAGAGACCTATTCACTGCAATGATCATTGGTTGTGCATTATGCATGACTCTTCCAATGAGTTTATTAAACTTTTTTAGAAGCTATAAAAATAACACCTTGAAACACAATTCAGTCTATGAAGCTGATGCTAGTGACCGAAGCCTAGCTGATAAAAAAGGACCATGTTGGTTTTGTTTTTGTTGTTAAAAGGAATATGTATGTAATCTAAGTTGGCCAAATGAAGTTCAATTTTATGATTTTCTTAGCACTATTAAGATATAAAACTCTTCTTGTAAATTTGAAGGTAATTTGAAAGGAGTTGCTGGAGTTCAGCATAAGAAATCTGAAAACTCTAACCAACCTACTAGAAAGCATAACTGAGAAAAGTAGAGAGAAAAAGGAAGGAAGGAAGGAAGGAAGGAAGGAAGGGAGAAAGGAAGGAAGGAAGGGAGGGAGGGAGGAAGGGAGGGAGGGAAAGAAAGGGTTAGATGGGATGATATTGAGTAATACATGATTATATACTTTTGGCACCTAGATACCCCCATTCCCAAAGGAAGCTATATCTCCTAGGCTTTTCATTTATAAGTGTCATTGACTTTCTTGTTTTATTAAGGCTGTTTGATATTCTTTAATTTGCATTTTAAGGAATCTCAATTTCTTGGAAAAGACTGGAAAACTGAGATGAAACTGGAATGCATTTGTTTGAGACAGGGAAATATTCCAAAGTGAAACAGATAATAACTGATATGAAGAGATTTTACCAACAATGTTCTCATGCTGAAACCCATTACACTTTGGAATTTGGGGTCAAACAAAACTGTGTGCAAATCTTAAATCCATTACTTACAGGCTATGCAGTCCAGCTCAGAGTCTAGCAGCACATAGAAGGTGCTTAATTAATTATATTGAATAAACTAATAAATAAGTGGGTGAATAAACTTAGCAAGGTTACCTAACTCTCTTGTAGAAAAAAGGCTATGGGACTATAATGTTGCATTGTAATCTAAATGTTAAGTTCCGTGCAATTCCTGAGCACAATACAAAATCTACAATAGCTTCCCTTCGCTACTTCTTAGTGAAAAAATTGAATGAAAATGAACATATCCAGGACAAACTTAAAGAAAAAAAGAGAACGAAAGAGAAAGAGAGAAGGGGAGAAATAGAAAAAGAAAGAAAGAAGAGAGGGAGGAAGGGAGGGGAGAGAAAGAGAGAGAGAGAAAGAGAGAGAGAGAGAAGTAAATCCTTTGAAATTTAACTAAATTTCTGAAAGAGGTTTGCATATAACCCTTACATTGGGTTTAACAACCTTCTAGAAATGCCTTTTACCCACTTTATCTTCAGTCACTGACTACCTCTGGGCATTGGTTTCTATAGGTAGTATTCGGAAAAGAAACCACTTTATGATATGAGTAGGATTCATATCCTTTGCTATAAGGGAAGTTGATATGATATTTTGTCAAAAGAATTCATCTGTATGCACCATCACTATTCTCCAAGGGAGTGATTGCTGTGCCGCATAGCAAATTATACAGGCTACAGACTGACAAGATCAGAAGAAAAGTGCCAAAATGGAAAAGGTTACCATAGGTATCAAATAAGATGTCACCCTGATTAACATATACACAAGTTTGTGATACATTTATAGAAAATATTGCACTTGGGGAGTTGCTTTGTGTGAAAATTTCTGCAACAACCTGGTTTCATCATTTTCTGCTGGCAACCCATATTTATAAATTATTTTTCACAGAACAGTTGTAATATTGCAAAGTATACATGTCTCAATTGTGCTCTTAAAATAACTAGTCTTGGAATTGGAAATATACAATTAAAAATAAAACTAGGATTTTAATAGAGTGGAGTTAATTTAGAAGATTTTTAACCAGCAGCCTGGGATAGGCAAGAATTGGCCACATTTCACTTCTTATAATTGACATAAAGGAAGAATAAAGAACTTCCTTCCTGAAGTGGCAGGCCAAGTCTTGATGCATTCCTTTGCTTTCTGGAAGTTTATGTATGCGTGTGTGTGTGTGTATATGCTTTTTGAAGAGTTGGGAGGAGTCCAGGGGCTTTGTAGGACCCCAGGTTCAGCACTTATATATATACATGTGATTCTCCCTGCAACAGCAATAAGTGTCACTAAAACTCATCACAGTAGCTTTGCATTCCCACAAGTGGCCATTCTATGCTTTAGCAGAGTGTTTCTTCAAGTATAATCCCAGGACAGCCCTCTTCACTATCACTTGGAGTGTCTGTTTAAATTGTGTTTCCTGAGCTCCACCATAAACCCATGTCATTTCTGGTACGGCAGTGGAAGAATGTGCAGTGGGAAATTTGCAATTTGAAAACCCCTACCATAAACAACACAAAGTAGTATACTGCAGTGACTAAGGGAAGATATTAGAACCCAATTGCCTGGTTTCAAATTTATTTTCCACCAGCTAGTTATCAGTTGTGAAACACTGAGCAAGTTACTTATCTTCCTTGTACTTCAATTTCTTCATCTTTAAAATAGGCACAGATACATATTATATAACAATACCTAAATTACATATACATTGTTAAAATTAAATAAATTGATAGTGTAAACAGTTTAGAGAAATGCTAAGCTCCAATGTTAATCAATATTATTTTAGAGGTTACCAGGTATAGAAATGATCTTAACTCATAAGGGTTTTCCCAAATTCCCCCACTATTTCATAGTATTGCCTTTGTTTTGATTTCTCAGCTCCATGAATGTGAAGATTATGTTAATTTGCTCACCTCTTTGCCCAGTGCCTACGATATTGTACTCTGAATAATTTTTAAAATTTGAGTTAATTTAACACTGCCCGCTGTTTCCTTATTAGAACCAATGGCAGAAGAATAATGGTTAACAGCTTACTGTCTCATAGGAAATTAAATTTAATATTTTAGGATTGAGAAAAGTGTGTGGACTCTTCAAACCCAGAAAGTTTCTGGACTTTAGCAAAACTTTCCTCATAAAAGACTGGCTTGCACCCCTTTATCTTGTTGCTTTTGTTTTTTCCTTCTCCTTTTCTCATAAAAGGCCCTCCATAGTCTTCTGCTTGACTCCCACCTTCATCTATTCTTATTTCCCCCAATCTCTTGCTCAGCTCTGGGTCTGGACACATGATTTACCTGTTTTACCAAGGACCAAAACTCTTTTAGCTAGGAGTTACCACACCTGCTGCACTTTCTGCCTGAAAAGTTTCTCGAAACCTTCGCCATCTCTATTCAAAATTGTTTGTCAATGGATCTCTGTCTCCCTCTGTTCAGTGAGTATCTAGTGGTGAGGAACCTTGTCTCATTCATCCTTACATCACCAGGGCCTGACACTGGGCATCAAACACACTCCCACTGAAAAAAGGAAGGAACCCAGAACACGACAGCATAAGATTCTTCCATTTGCTTATGTTCTCCTCTCAATCATCTTCATGGACATCAACCTAGGTTATGATTATCTTAGGAGAAACTTGGCATTGAACCTGTTAGGGGCAAGACTGGCCAGCAAGAAAGAGAATGATCAGGCTGAGGAACCCTCAGAGGAACCATTCCATAAAGCCCTTTTGATGCTGCAAGCCTTCTCCTAAGCTGGTCTCAGAAGTCACCCAACCCAATTCTGTTGTGTTTTCTTAGTCACAGGCTAATGGTAGGGGTCTTCTCAGATTCGAGGAAGAGGACTAACAAGAACATGCATTTCTATGGGGGACTTGATTCATCAATTGGAAGCCTGAAGTTCTTTCAAGGCAAGCCTGATCTTTTTCTGCCTCCTCAGATAAATTATGAATAAATATGTTATCATCTGCAGAAAAGTTTAGATCAGCTACACTTGGTTTCAAAGCCCAAATCCATCATTTACCACCTTTGTGAGAGGCCTAGATTCATTTCTGTAAGAAAGGAAGAACCACATCTTCCCTCTGCTTCTCCTGAGGCATGCTCAGGCCTTAGTGGTCTGTCAAGGGTAATGCTTCACTTGGGTTTGCTCCACCTTACTCCTTTCCCTCTGGTACTGGTGAGTATGTTCTTATCACACTACCATAGGAAGATTGTACCCTGAGGTCAGAGAGAAGACAGAAAACAAGAAAGAAAGGACTTCCCTTTTGTCTTCTAATTTAAACCAGTGAGAAAGTGGAAAACAACCCTGTTAACAATCAGAGTGCAGTTTTCCCAATAGAATATAAATAATGCTCAAACAAGGACAACACTTAGGCCACTCTGCCCATGTTTGGATAGATGTAGACAAGACTCCTCATGACCAAAGAAATGACTAACCATCCTCATCTCCTGATATACACCGCCTTTCTTTGAGTGATTGCTGTGTCTTTACTATGGCAATTCTAACACTATTCTACTTGCCTCCAAGTTTAAATTTATTATAATATCTAGTTGCCCTCACATTTTTTTTTGGTTTGTTTGTTTGTTTTTTTGCGGTACACGGGCTTCTCACTGTTGTGGCCTCTCCCGTTGCGGAGCACAGGCTCCGGATGCGCAGGCTCAGTGACCACGGCTCACGGCCGCGGCACATGGGATCTTCCCAGACCGGGGCATGAACCCATGTCCCCTGCATTGGCAGGCGGACTCCCAACCACTGTGCCACCAGGGAAGCCCTGCCCTCACATTTTAAATTTTGTTTTTTCATTGCTATTTACTATATTTTATTTATTTATTTATTTATGTTTTAAATTTTTCGCCGCACTGCACTGCACGTGGGATCTTAGTTCCCTGACCAGGGACTGAACCCATGCCCCCTGCATTGGAAGGCGGACTCTTAACAACTGGACCACTGGGGAAGTCCCCGCCCTCATTTTTTGATAACATCGGAACCCAAAATGGTTCCTGCTTAGAATTCTCTAACACAAACACAAATCCTATAGTAAGCTACTCCTGATTCACTCTTCCCACCTAGGTTCCCCTTGGGTAAACCATTTCTCTCTGCAGCAAACTAAATAACCTAACCATTCTTTTGACTGGAGAGATGTTCCTGGTGGGCTTTCACTATGTGTTCCTCAAGCCACACCACGTTCTCCAAATGTTATAGCAGCTCTGTATTGGGGGATTCTGGGTCCTTGCCTAGCTATAAATCAAAGTTATAAATGGTTTTCTATGAGATTACTGTGCTCCATGATAAAGCTCCCTCAGTGAAGAAGTTGATCAGGAAAAAAAAAAGTGAATAATTTTCAAGAACAGAACAGCATTCTGAATCATACGAGTTGGTAGTTTCTTTCCATCTGCCTTGCCCTTTTTTGTCTGTCTTTGGTGGACAGGACCAGATTAAGATCTTTAGAGCTGGAAAGCTTTAAAAAATATTACTGTTTCCTTTTGTTTATTTTTGCCACTACTCAGTTCTTCCCATAAGCATTTACTTAGTCTGAGTATTAGTT